TTTTACGACTGGTACAACGATTTCGTGCTTATTTGTGTCCAAGAGTAAAAAGAGTACAATACATCGTGTATTTTTTCTTATTCCTCAGAAATTATTGCTTAATAACGAATTACGAAAATGTATTAAGATTATATGTTTCTTAAGAAATATGTACATACTTTGATCTATTTCTGGATGATAATTGTAAAAATTTTTTAATTTCAAATGGACGCGATTACATCGGCATTCGGCTTCCATAATTGACTGATGCCACGGACGTGCCGCTCGTTCTTTTATCATTTCCGAACCAGAAGCTTATCTCAACCGAAGCTTCTTGAACATTCTCCTTCATTCCAGCCCTTTCTTGCAATTTCCCTTTCTGACAGTACGCCACGTTCACACCTGCTTTCTTACATTTGGCCATCTTGACAATTAACCGTCTCGATTAATCGCATCTTAGGAGTACAAGATAAACATACATAAAATATGAACATAATCAACAAAGTGAAATAAATACATATACATTTGTACACACTTAACCTAAAGTTTTAACATTAATACGTCTACATATATGTACATTCTGATACAATCTTAATTTGACATTAGCCTGTCATCTATGGTCGCATGTTTGATGCCTCCCACGTCCCAAAATAATGTATTTGCGACAGTTTAAACCCTTCTACATCCCTTACCACATACCAATCGTTTCGTAATACTCTAACAATTTCATATGGGTCTTTGAACTTTAGTATTAACTTTGGAGACGTTTATGATAAATTGTCGAACTTTTTTTATTATAACTTTGTCGCCTACTTGGTATTTTTTCTCTGCCGTATGTCTGTAATCATAAATTTATTTACTCGCGTTTTGCGTTTTCCGTCTTTGTCCGCTGGCTTTTCCGTGTAACTTCGATAAATCGTGGTACTGTGCGACTTACCCATTTCTCTCAAGCGCATTTCGCAGCCTGTCGACCATTTCGACTCGTCGACGCACTCCAAATAACAGCACGCTCGGATATTCGTTCGTGGCTTTCGATACAGTATTGTTATACGCGGATTCTACATCTTGTAAAGTGTTAGGCCAGACGATCTTTCTATCATCAGTTCTTCAACTTCGATATCGTGGGTAGGATGGTACGATTAAATAGCTCAATCTGGCCATTCCCCAGTAGAGATGCGGTGGCGATCTTAATATGTTCGATATTAAGATCACGTAGAAATTCTTCAAATTCTCGTTACCTAAAACAACTACTACGATCAGAGATTATCCTCAATGGTCGACTGTAATGCTGAAAATATAATCGGAGGCATTTTATAACTTCTGTCGCATTAGTTGTTTTGGTAGCGTATAATTTTATGTGTTTAGTAAAGGAGTCGATGATTAAGAAGATGTACCAATTCTGATTAACGTTTGAACGGGATGCCAGGATTAAAGATCAACGTGTAACGTATCAAACGATACGCTACCTTTTGGTATGGAATACAACGTTCCTTCTGGTTTTTCTGAATTCGGTGTGAGCGCAATACACTTAAAACAGCTTCTAATATGTTTTTCAACCTTGGATTTCATATCACGAAACTAACAACTATTCAAAACATTCCGCATAGTTTTCTCAACCCCGACGTGGCTTATTTCATTATGATATTTCTGCATTACACTAGTCTCTAATGCAGTAGGTACGTAAAACAAAATATTACCCTGATGCTTTCTGTACATTAGTCCGTTTCTCATCATCAAATGATTTGCTTTCGGCACTTTCCAATTCTTTCCGCATCACTGTTATCGCCGAATCATCACTTTGATATAAAGCGAGGTTCCTATTAAAGGAGTTATCCTCTACTATAAAAATTTGTCGACTTAGTGCGTCTGTGTGCAACATTCGCGATCCTGATCGGTGTTCGAGCATATGATCGGAATTTTGCATTTCTAGTACCAATCGTGCAATACGAGGATTGGATTCTTGCGCATCTTCGAATCGAAAACCTACATTTTTCTTTGTTAAATCGTACAATAGCTTTGCAATAATTGAACAATTTTCGATAAATTTTGAGGAACTATTAGAATTCCTTCCTAAGATAAGAACCGCCCTTCAGACTCCACTCTCGTTTTTGCGAATGAATGAGAGAAGGATTGAGCTGAAGGAATGGGACAGTTCGAGTATTTAAGGGTCTCAATCCAAACTTCAGGGACTCAACGAGGTTTAGCGAGGAACAAGTTCAATCAGGAACAAGTTTAGGAATAAATTCAGACAACCTCCATCAGGGAGTTTAACCAGGCCAATCAGGGCCCGAAACAATTAGAGAAACAAATTCAGAAACTTCCATCAGGGAGTTCAACCAGACCAATCAGAGCACGAAATATGTACAAGGGTAGTAAAGAGTCAATCAGTCAGACTGTCAATCAGCCATCAGAAAGTTTTTAGTTCCATCACTGGGTGGTCCTTCGGGTAGTACAACACAATTAGCATATATTCAAGGCACTCGTGACAGTCCGAGTCTTTAACAACGACGATTAAAATGTATTTTGAGAGCTAAATTTTTTAAACTTAAACTACATAGGTAGGTACATTGTTATTAGCTTAATTAGAGTAACTCTAAAGCTGACCTTTGCTAAAAACGTTCTCAATCTGATTAAGGTACGTTCGCGGGTGGCAACGAGTGCGTGTGGTATGAGTCCCGAGAGAGAATGAAAATGATACCTATACCCCCTTCTAACGCCACTTCTTCAAAATAGATTCGCCCTGGCCGAAAACCGATTTCTGCGCATGGGCCACAAAATTTCAATCGCACTGCACATGTACGCTCGTACGTGGTATTTTGTGGAATAACCACAATCAAGGGGCCGCTGCAATAAGCAGACACACGCGAAAACACAGAAGCACACACACGTTTTTTACAATCACTTAACTATATAATAAATATCGCTACTCCACGTAACGCGTCCTACAATTATTACAGTCCCATAGCCGTTTTTCAACATTTTGGTGGTCCTTCAAAACAGCACCATAGACGGTGCGTAGTGCAATAATCAGGGCTCGACCACACCCTGACAACTACCGAGCAGATAAATCAATTTTTTGAAATTGCTCTATAAAAACTACAAGATTGCATCTATGGAGACTTTAATTGATTTATAATTCAACTCGCGCATTCGTGAATCAATTTCTTTAATAATTTCTCAGAGAAACATCTGCTGTCTTTTTTGTAACTGCAAAATGAACAAATTAGGAGTGGGCCATTTTGACCCGTCTTGTAGTTTTAATGTTAAACTTATCCAAAGTGGCATGTTTTCTACTAATTTTCCGAATGATTTATTCTTTTCTTTTATTTCAGTTGTTATTTGTACCATAAAACTTCCACAACGTTAAATAAAGTTGTATTTCGATTGGAAGAAATGATAGCCCACAAATCCTAGGGTGACCACGTAAAGAGATTGCAGAATCGATGCACTCGTCGCAGAATTGCAGAGATCGGTGCTGCAAATGTAGCAATATTCGTTGTCACTTATACCGTCAAGCTTCAACAATGGATTGCAGGGACCGTCGGTGATATGAGCTTGATGCTTGTACACGGACCAACACTCACGTTTCACCACTCGTTTGCCATTTTCTAAGGAAAAAAACGAAACCATGAGTCTATGAACAATGCATGTATTAGATTTATTTTACTTTAGATTTGTAAGCATGTTCTAATTCTCAAAATGTAATTATGTTTTATTGCGAATCTACAGAATTATAATGAATGAGGAGCCACTTCTAGTCAATTGTAATTCAGCCTTGTTATTTAACTGCTTTATGAAACTACATAATAGTACAAGAAAAGTTCTGAGTATATACAAATATGTTTATCTTAGGAGCCAGTAATATACAAATTCACACTGTTATGTAGTAACATATAATACTAGAAAATGGTCAGTACAATGTCGTTTTGCACATTTATCTTCATTACAACTTTTTCTTCCTAGTGATAATGTATTATGATCGACACGCTTCTGACGAGTTTATAATGAAAGCACGGAGATTGCATGAAAGTAGTTTATCAAAAATACTTCGTTTGGAAAATACGTACTCGGTCGATAAATATTCATATCGAAAATTGTTTTATATTGTATCTTACAATGTATCTTCATTTGTTGAAAACACTCACAGTATTGTAAGTTTTGGCATGCCTATCTATACTGTGCATAGTAAGTATAATCAAAATGTATCATTTTATTTTTCTACAACAATTTTCCTACTCCTTTCTGTAGAAATTATCGTATTATCAAATTATATCCCACTTCATAAAAGTGACACTATAATACCAATTTTTATGTACAATATATTTATGTAAGTAGTTATCTCCATTCTCAAAAAGCTGTTTCCAATAAAAGTAATTATAGAATTCTGTCAGATTTCAAAAATATTAAAAGTTTAAATAAAATGCTAGCTTTTGAAATGATTCGTCTAAAAGAATTTTTTATGCCTTTCCCGTCTTTAGAAGAGTGCCCTCTCAGTCTAAGTATTTTGTTGAATTTCTATTTCTTATTTATGCCATTGGATGTGACGACCGCTAACTTACCAACCTAAATTCATTTTTCAAGTAAATATTTCAATTATCTTATTTAACACCTGCATATGAATGGGAAAATGACTTCCCAACTTTCCAAAAACGTTTCACTTCTATTTTTCCGACAGTTGCCTTAAATCAAATCAAATTGCAGATGTCACCTTGAGAAATATTTATCTGAGAAGTATTTTAAACTTAGAAACCTTGTATGTATTATTTAATGCAATATGCTTCAGAAAAATTTTTGACGACATTCTGCACAATTTATGCTTTCAAAAAGGTTTTAAATACATTCTTCTTATAAGTTGCCATTAATCAGAATTGTGATTTACACAATATATTATATTATGTGCATTATGTAAAAATTTTTACTATCAGAATAAATATAAAATAATATATTAATAAATTGTATAAAGTCCGATTCTTTTAAATCGTTGTTGTCTAGTAACTATAAGAGAAAACAAAGTAATTTAATTTAGCTCTATTTATTTTAATGCTATTCATTCAATTTTACAAAATGTAGTACCTACATGCAACAAACTTAGTTTGCTGAAGATTTTCATATTTAGTAGTATATTTACAGAGCATTAAAAACATGGTTAAATGAAACGTTAAAAGTTGTGTTTTATAAAAAAATTATTGTTTTTTATATGGACAACATACACAACAAACTACATTAAAAGAGGAGAACAAAATTTAAAAAGCAGCATATTATTAGAAGTTTTTTAAATATTTTTACCTGTTTTCACGATTTTGCGGCATACCGGTATTATGAAGTCAAAGATGTGTTCATCGCAATCTGTTGCGTAGAATCTCCTCTGATAATCTGTGATGTTTATTAGGTCCCCGCATAGAGGCTCTAAATCCGAAGAACAATTCCAACATTGCAGAGTAGAACCTATGAAACGAATTACAATAAATTAAAAAGACTGTAAAATATATGTATTAACAGTTTGGGGTTAGGTAGCTTTAGAATTATCCACTTTTTTTATACTTGAGTAATTAATTGAAATTACTTATACTCTGATACTATTATCGTGCAGGTAAAGTTTTTTGTTTCTTTAATACTACAATAGGTTTAGGAAACACGTCAATTCAACGCGTATTGAAGTTTATAAACATTATTTAGTAAACGTTTCAGCGGATTTTGACTGATGCAATATCAATATCATAATTATCTATCTCTAAATCTTGAATTTGCAAAATCTAAATGAACGAACATCAATTTTTTAAGACCAATAGAATAAATTATACAATAAATGTCCGTAAACCTAGTGTTAAAATTGCGGGTCCTTAAGGATAACACATAATTTCTATTTTTGAAGCATTTTCTTTGTTTTATAGTGTTTTCTTATTTAGTAATTGTTGTTATATTGGAAATACTCATGCATACAGAACATTCACAATTATCAGAAACTTGATATAAGGCAAAATGTTTAATGAAGTTTTTTCTTTTTTCTACAATTCACCATAAGGCATAATATGACAAACAAATTCGTTTTCTATTGTAACTTCGTACGGTTTTCCGTGAAGGTTTATATTTCAATAAGATCAATCAAACGGAGTGTTGTAGCATATCTAACAAAAACAAAATATCAATCATACTTCCGATCCCATTTGTAATAATTTTTCTTCGAGAATCAGTTCAGTAACATTCCAGAATGTAAAACTGCGTACAACCACAATTCTTTCTGTAAGGATTACTCATTTTCTTTCCTGGCGTGCATCAAGGAAACCCGTGGATATGGAACGATTACGTAACTGATTACGTTATACCCACGCCTAAGTAGTGTGTGTTACGGATTATTTATTTAGAGTATTATAAAATATGGTAGATACAATTATCGTTAAATAATTATTTCTTTATTCTTAAGTAAAATATAATGAATACTTTTTTCTCTTTTGGTTTCTAAATGTTTAGCTATTATAAGTAAATATCGCTGATTACACATGTATAGTTTTATTATAAATTATTATAATTAATGCACAATTATTGTTGCACCAGGAATATTGGAGTCATTTTTTTACATCAGAAAGAGCAGCAAATTGAACTACAACAATGGATAGTTAATTCAATAGGTTTGATAATTCAGGTGGTAACAATGAACCTCCGCAAAACGAGATAACAAAACTTGCACTAAAAGGGTAATGACTGAAGCAAGTAAGACAATAGGAATGGTAACGACCAAGATGATGATTTGAATAAAGAAAATAATTTACTTAACATTTTCTACCCGTGATTTCACAAACAATTAATCATGACTATTTTACAAATAACTGCGAAATGTGCACAATTGTTTTTAACCACATATTTATCTATACTCGAATTTACTATAAAACCAACTTCTAATAATATTTTATACAGATTCGTAAACGTTAATATAATTAATTTATAGTTACGATAAACACTTTTATGAAAAATCGATTTGAAAAATTAAATTCGTACCCAAAGGTTCATATTTCTAACAGATTTTGTATATTTTATATATTCAAACAGGTTAACATAATATAAACTATTTTTTGTTTCTTTTCTAAGTTATTAACAAAATATAAAATTAACACGTATCCTTTAATTTTTTCACTGTATCCTATGATACTTTACTTTTCACTTTTTTCTAATACAAAACGTCTCTAATCACAACAAAGCGAAGACACTTATTTCACACAATAACACAGTATAGAAAGTACCTGTTTCTCTTGGAAATATTATTTTTCTCAAACTGTAATACTTAAAACCGAAGGCCCCCTTTAATATAAAACAGGTAAACCGCAATACATTTGTAACTAACAAAATATGTATTTTTACACTTCAAATACAATGTAGAAAAGAAATGTGCATTAACAAGTTCACTCTGGTACGTATCATCGGCGGTACACGGGTAATTTACAACATTACAATAAACCAACGTTAATAAGCAAATTAGTTACAAATTATTTATTTACTTGCAATTTGCAGCTAAAGTCAGAAAACTAGGCTACGTAAGAACAGAATCTACTTCAACATTATTTTCGCAAACAATCTTATTATTACGATCTACGATTGAATATATATATATAAACATAACCCCCGGAATGTGTTAAATTTTAACTCACCTGACGGTGCAAGAAGGACCAAACCAAAGATCACCAGCATCCACTCTATTCGAGACGACATTCTGGCCGGTCACTCGGAGACTTCAATGCGTCTGGTGTTCAGTTTTAATCGATATATCGTTCGCACGGATCACGGTCGGTTCGAATGAAATAATCTAATCTTGTAAGGGTTGAGAAACAGTTGGCAAGGAACTGCTGGTGTCACCGAACGTATTTTCTACGGTACTGATGAGGCAACACCCCTTTCCCGCCGGAATCGTACGCACAGTCTCCTTCTTCCCTCACTTCTTACCATGAAGTCATTCCACTCTCCTTGCTGGCTCGCGGTTACCATGGGGCGGCGTAATAATATATCGGGCCAGGAAGTAGGAGTCAAGAGCAAACAACTGAAGTAGGCTCTTAGGGAACATAAGAGATAAAACAATAATTATGGGCTTAAGGGAGAGGTTGGGCGCTTCGGAATCATTCAAGATATACTTGGAGTTTTCGAATTTTCAGATTGCTGTCCACAGAGATCGAGCAAATCGTATTAAAGAGATTCTCGTGTTAGTGGTTTTATTTTTCTGATAGGGACATGTGGGATTGTTTACTTGAATCAATAATTTGTTGGTATAGTTAGGTGCATTTTTGATTATGAGTTCCTTTTATTTATGGTGACGTTAACATTGATCCCTTGACTTTACGTTCGTACTAACATAGAACATCGTCCAATTATTCGTCTTTTATGGTTTGAAGATGTATTTGGAATTGAAATCCTTTCAAGACTCATCGCATCCATCTGTGATAATACAGAACAGCATACACACAGCGTTTTTCTGCAAAAGAGTGCCTATAAACGAATTGCGAAATTAAAAAGTAGTTAAGTAAGTGTTATGAAGAACTAAAGAAAACCATGTATGCGTAATTCATAGCAAGAAATATCTTTTTCTGTGGGCATAAAGAAACTTGGATAACAATAAACTAAATGTGTTGAAAAGTAAAGGAACAACATCGAATAATATATAATATTATTTAACATATTTTATTTTTATTGTAATAATCTTTATAACTACATCGAATAACATGCAATTCTGTTTAACCATTTAGTAACCTTTAATTTAATATCAGTAAAATTCGAACCGGTAGGCTAATCATAAAGTTATCAGTATAAAATCGATATAATAATAATCAACTGTTTTTTGAACAGATAGAATAGTGTTTTTTTTATAAAAATATTTATTTCTGTTAAAAATGATCACTTAATTAGAGTATATTGTGAAAATAAATGTATTTTTTCCAAAAGTTTTTATTTGAGAGCTGAAGGATTAAATGTATAATATAAGTAAACATTACAGTATATTATAAAATATAATCTATATTAAATTTATAATGAATTAATTAAATTAATTAAAGTAAGAACTAATTTAAATCGTTTAGCAAAAATGTAGACATTTTATAAGTGATCATTCATATGGATCTTTCATTACATTCATATGGAAATTTAATTTGACACTCTATCCATCTGGAATGAATTTAATTTTCAGATTGCTCAGAAGCATAACGGTAATGAAGACGTACCTTTTGCTACGGAGAACTGTAATCCTCTTTGCAGTACTACATTAATTTAAGTTACAAAAGTTAATGTAAGTTCAAATATTTATTGATATATTGTTTTTGTTCGAGATAACATCGAATAAGAGGAACGCTGAAATATATCATTTAACGAAAAAGTGCAAAAACGTATATCGAAGAAGTATTGCTTTCTGAAAAGAGTTAGTAATTAAAAACAACTGTGAATCTATCCACATAAAGTGAAATGGAGATAAGGAAAAAACTATCCCTATATTTCGTACATTACATTATTTATAATATGTAATATATATATAGTGATTTATGGTATAATAACATACTAATTGTATCAATAATTATACCAGATTAACAAAATAGTTATATCTTAATTATAGTGAATTTTGACGGTTAACTTGTCTGAAAAATTTAAGCACATTCTATTGACATGAAGGAAAATCACAAAATTTTGAACGAATAAAACTGTGATTCATTTCCGAGGAGATGTAAATAAGATATTGCGCAGTAAGATAAGATAGTGACATCCTTTGCCACAATGATAATAAACACCACATAAGCTAAGAATAAAAACTGCTTAATTATATGTGATAAAATCTGGATAAAAACCATCATTCTGAATTTCTTCAATTATTTTATTCGTCATAGCTTTCGACATGCTTTTCTTAATACTTTCGTCCCGAATGGTAAATACGCATACATAGGTACCATGTACATTTTAAATTACCAGAAAGCTAGAAAACGCTTAGATAAAGGAAAACTGTACCACGCGGGGATCTTTGCTTATGGCTAACAGTTTAAGTGCTAATTAAAAAAATTTTGTATCACCTTTTAGAAATTTTTGTTCAGAAAATTCGTATTACAAAAAATACATTTCAGGGATGAAAGGGTTAAAATAGTCACTCTTTCATTTCATGCTACTATATCAGTTGAATTGTTTGTTACATAGTAGTTTCTTGTGTAGAATTATATATCCAAATTAGTTTTAATTTTCTATGATTACTTTAAATAAGGGTATATTAACGAAATTTCCACATATTGATAGTTCCATTGAGAATTAAAGAATTTAAGACACCCGAAGTTCTATGCGGAAGTAAAGTTGATCCTCAAAGTTATCATTAAAAAGGAAAAGAAATCAATAGTTTTTAACTTTATGGCTAACAGTGAAAATCAGATTAAGTCAACGTCGATATTGCGTAACTTCACGGGGATCGCGTAAATGTGCTTGATAACGGCAACGAACAATATTCTCAGTCTTCTCAACGTCAACTGATGCTGTTTTATCACAGTTACGTCATTTTATTTTACGCGATTATGCTGATGTCATTGTAAAGTATAAAGACTGTTGCTTCTTTTTGTTGGTACAGTTATATCATTTACTCCGAATGAATGTGGTGTATGTCATTCATAATTCACTACGCGTTAATTAAGTAGCAATTGAGTAATAAATATGTTTTTACAATTCCTAAAAAAAGCTAAATGATTAAAAATGAAGTTAGCAGCAAGCGTACTGAGACAATCAAAATATTTGGTTTATAATTGTTAATAGGACGTACATTTATGTTTAACAAATAATTCTCTAAAATTTTATATGGCCGTTGGTTCAATGTATACAAATAAATTAAATAAATTATTACTTTTTATTTATCCAGAAATCTATTTTTATATCTCTCATGTAAATAATTAATGTTCTATTTTTATATATGATTTTTCATAAAATATATATATATTGTGAACAGAGTGTACGAACTTATCATCATTCCTGATTGTTGAAAATTTCACAATCACCTTCATTAACATTTGTTTTAAATAAGTTTAACAATTTTTTATTGTATATATGATAAGGTATATTTGATTGAAAATTCGTTTGACAATTTTCAACAATCGGGAATGATAATAAGTTCGTATAGGCTGTTCACAATATATCCTTTTATAAAAAAATATACTTATTATCCTATCAGAATTTAATTTGAATTTTTTTGTCATTATTTTGATGATAAAATACTTTTAATCATACATATGATGGCGCAATCGCATTGAATACAATAAAACTTGCACTGGGATTGCGATCATTCAAGATGTTCAAATTGTAAAATCCGCCATTTGACTAATTTTCTCATTGTTGAATTTCGTGGCTCTGGTGTACCCGAAAGTTTATGTGGGTGGCATGAAGGTAACATTCACACTCGAAGCCACGACTGAATTACTAAACGATAGCGTGAGTTTATTACCGCGGTGCGCTGCAACTTAAACGACAGCAAGTGTCAATGCTAAGAATTGATTCGTCGAAATCTACTTTAAATCGTTACGTGGGAACTTCGATAAATTTTGTTTACAAGTATCAATTAATGCATGGAAAATCATTGAATTTTTTGTTTTACTTTTTTTCCATTGGATAAAGTTATTAGAAATTGTAATAATTCATTGCAAAGTTGGCGTAGGAGATGATACAATACATTCATGATAAATCTACAGTAAATTTATATTTGCCTGTTGGTTATTCATGTTTTACGTGAAAATAATTTTTTCTACATTCTAATTACTATATTTTATTATTGAATATGAGAAAAACACGATTTAAGGAATTGCTCACTTAATATTGTTGTTGTCGATAACATTGTTTTTATCAAATAGAGTTCATCGTGCTGTAACAATCGACGTTTACCAGAAATGTTGTATTGCAATACTAATTTTCTTTCCCTTTAAAATGTGTGGTTTATTATTTGCAGAACTACACCGATTTTATTAAGAAAAATTTTCCAAAGTTTAAAAACTCAATCATCTTTAGAAGAAAAAAAATTTGAAATTTGAAATTTGAAATCTGAAATTCAAACTACAAAATCAAAATTTTAAATTAGACATTGAGTTCAATTTAAATTTCATATATAAATATTTTTTAGAAAAGAAAAATTCAGAATGCTTAAGCTAAGTGTACAAACACGAAAACTGAATTTTTGTAAATAATAATGTTCCAAATAAACTTTTTTTCTAAGAGTAGTATAGTGATTCAGTTTTGAATGTATAAAGTAGACAGTCTTTAAATGCATTTCTAAATTTTAACATATACGACTCACTAGCGACTTTGAAATGTTAAATTTTATAATTATTCACACTATGCAGATGAAGAAAATCAATTTCCATATCCAAAATATGTATAACATTATAAAACTTTGAAAAACAATAATTTTTTTGCTGATTATTATCATAGTTTCCAACGCTTATATAAATAGCTTAACGATAATGATAAATTGAAATCGTAAATAGATTTAGAAGCTTAGTCCAAATCAATTCTAATTCAACGTAATAGTGTATACAATATCTCATCACGATGAGATCTAACTCAGGTTACCATTTCCAAGAAAACCATAATAATTATAGAATGTGTTCAGCTGTAAAAGATACAATCATTGCCTTTATTTTAATTTCTCAAAAAATCCATAATTACTCATAATTAATCTTTATTGTGAACTAGAAGAAACTCAGGACAAAGTAATATTAAACGTATTAATATATTTTACCAATGTCGCAATTTTCTTTAACACTAAAACTACAATACGCGTCAAAATGACCAATTTCTGATTTTTCTTTTTACAATTAATAAAAAAATAACAAATGTTTTTCTGAGAAATTATTAAGAAAATTCATGTAACAATACGCAAACCGAATTATACATCAATTGAAGTCTCAATGGGTGCACTTGCAGTTTCTATAA